CAGAGTCAAGGAGCAACACGGCTTAGCAGGGTGGTACGGGAGAAGAAACAAGAATTTGCCTTCCGAGTTGGCTTTCTGGCATAGCTCACCAGCATTTCAAAAGCCAGATGGAACAGACCAAGCCTAACCCAGGTGTAAAGCTGCTTTCTAGACCCTCCAAAGACACTGCTCTTGCATGCCCCCATTTCCTTGTGAGCACATTTAACCTACCAGCTGTCTTGGCACCCACACACACTAAAAGGCTCCTGAAAGGCTGTGAAAAAGCAAAGCCCAGACTGGGATGACAGCTGGAAAAGGGGATGAAACACCCCGGGGCCAAGAAGCGGTAAATAACGGCATGGCCTTTGGGCAGCTCACATGCTCAACCAGGGCAAAGGCAGGCACCCGTGCCATCCTTACCAGCTCACTTTAGCAGTCTCAGCCCTGATCTTTGAGTCAAACTGCACACAAACCCCCAACCAAAATTCACCAAACCAATCAACTCCACACCCCGGCAACTCCCAGGGCAGCATTTTCTGCACTTGCACCCTCCCTCGCAATGTCCCTCGCCAGGACCAAGCAGAGACAGAGCCCAAATTTGCGCTCTTCCTCTCCAGGGACAGTAACAATCAAAGTACAGCTCCAAATTTGCATTTTGCAACCCTGCCTTTTGCTAAACAGTAAATCTGACCAGCAAACTTGAAAAGCCTCCAGCTGGTTTCATTGCCTGGAGCTACTCTGCTAGAATATCTGTCCTGGCAAATTACCATCATCTGCCCTTCACCTCTCGGGTACTTTAGATGCTGAACTTTGCAGGGCCAAAGTTGGGAGCATGCACTGGTGTTACTCGATAGCCCTTCTTCATGCTAATTTTAGGTGATTGGAACTTTTCATGCTTTCAAACAGAAGTCACTTTATTTTTGAGAAACCTGTTGTACCTACCGGCTACTGTAAATACTCTTTTCCATCTGATGTTTTGAACTTACCTACAGGGCTCTAAAAAAGATCACAAGAAAACAGCACCTGAAATGATCTTGAAGGAACAATGACCTGATAATTTTGTAAACCAAGCCGAGCAAACACAATGCACCCAACATGCGAATGATTGCAGATGGAAACAAATTATACATCAGTAAGTACTGAATTTCATCTTTCTTCAGTTAATATGGATTCCTGATTTTTGTGGCAGGCTATTGCTCCATCACTCAGCTGTTTGCTTTGCGAGATGTGCTTGCTCCATCTGCTTTAGACATCTAAGGTGCAATCCTGTGGGATTCCAGAGATCCTCACTGGACACCCTAGATCTAGGCTAGATGTCTCTCCAAAGACAAGGCATCAGGCTGGATCATTCAAGACATAGCCTGGGTCTCATCCTCAGGCTATTTACACCTAAATAGATGAGACAGTCAGCGAGGACAGAGGCTGAGCAGCAGGATGGGTGCCAGGACCGATGCCTGGGGCTGCTGGTTTTGGGCTGGCCCCAGAGGAGATGAGCAAGGCAGGAGACCAGCCACGGTGCTCACGGCAACCACCCCCAGCCCCTCCACAACCTTGGGGAAGGACTACCTACCCAACCAAGCACCTCTGATTCAGTAATTACACTTTCAATTTGCTGCTTTCGTGCTTTAAAGTGCTTGCCCATATAAATCCCAATGATATTTTCCCCTTACTTTCCTTCAACCTCCCTCTCTGCTCTTCCCATCACCCTCAAAAGCCTCAAGCCCGCGACGCTTTCTTTTTCCTATTTATTTGAAGGATGAGGACTGCATGTCTTTAGCATTGCTAAACTGCTATTGCTTAGAGTTATGGTGAAAAGATTAAGCACCTTTTTGAAATCTGTGGTCTAAATCAAATTGTTCCACTGCAACCAAAACCCTCAGGGGAGCCAAGCAAAATCACAGGGAAATTGTCTGTGGTCTGTCTCATTATCAGGATCCTTGTAAGGGGCCCATTGTTTCTGAAGCAAATGCTAGCTCCAATTGCACTTCTTGTCAATGTCAGATCCATTCTTTACCTGCTTTAAAAAAAATTGTGTTCATTATGGAAAGTGTGTTGAGCTAGCAAGAGTTACCAATAGACCAATCTCAGAGCCTTGTTCAGCAGCGTACCAGCTGCCACCCCATTATTTATAGCCACTCCGCTCTTTGAGCTTGGTGATTTTCCTTCCCTAAGGTGGTGGTGGCAGGAGGGGAAGCTCTGACATTCAGGCCCAGGTGACTCTGAGCTTGACCTTTCCTTCAAAGAGCAGAAACTGCAGACACATTTCAAGGAACAAAGTCATTTGGAAAATCTAGACTCTTGTGTCCATCACTTCACTGGAGGCCCAGTGTGGAGCTGCAAGCAAAGGTTGAGCAGAGATCTGTTAATTAGCCAGCACATATACATACGGACGGTCATAAAAATGAACCTATAATTATTTTATACGTGGAAAGAGAACCAGATGAAGTCTAGCCTCCAGTCTCAAGGCAGAACAAGTGCTATATAAAAGACATAACATGCAAAACAGACTTGAGTTTTCCATCAGCTAAGCTTTCCCCAAGTTTAAAAAATGCTGGTTTATGGCCTGCAGGAAACAGTCATTGCAATGGTCATGGACCAGGTTTTTCAATCCCATCTCACATACACTTACGTAGAATCAGCTGTTAAATCTTGTTGGAAAAAAAAAAAGTAGCCCTGAAGCCTGCTACAGAAAGACAAGCAGCACGTTTCAGTATTACTGTAGCCCCCCTCACAGATTTATTTAAGAGCAGATGCTGTACAAAAGAGGGTGTTCTCCTTCTGCATAATGTAAACAGACAGAATGGGGAAAGAAGAAACTGGGAAGAGGCAACACCTTGAGGCGTGCCTCAAGGTCAGAGCACCAACAGCCCACGTAGGGGTTCCAACCCCTCTCTTTGGGCACCACTGACCTGCCAAGGGGATGGTAATTCGGGATAGCGTAGCAGCATGGGGAACACAGGCAGCCAATAGATACAGGGACCAGGAAAGCATCCCTCTTCTCCGCCAGGCTTTGAGGGTAAGATTAATCCTGCAAGAAAGGCTCACTCAATGCCTCAGTTTGTCCTTGTTATGCTCAAAATGTAACAGGTAAAGTTAGAACTAAGGTCTTAAAACAAAAACCTCAGAGATGCCAGTGCTGAAAAAAAAAAAAAAATACAGTATTGTGAAAAATTAACGTGGGAAAGATATGGAGCAGTCAGCTACTGAGTAAGACCAGACCAGTAACTGCTAGAGGGGCAGAGCCTGCTCTCCTTTACTCACACGAGCAGGATGAGTCCCCAGGAGCACTCTTCACATCCCCAGGAGAGCAGAGGTCCCAGTGACGTGGAAATGTGCAGGGGAGCTGGAAGCAGGCTGGCTTTGCGAAGGTTGCAGCATAACTTCACCCCCACACGCAGTGGTTTTTTTCTCCACAGCAAATTCAGCTGCAGGAGCTTTCAGTTTTAATGAGAGATGAGCAGAAGCGCTTCACAGATGCCACATTTTCTTCAGAAGTGAGCAACAGAATCAGCCACAACGCCCCGTGCTTGCTGCTCAGGGGAGAAATGAGCCTTCATCCCCTCTTAGCATTGCCCAAGAGCACCAGGGCTGCAGCATCCCTTTTTTTTTGGGGGGGTGGGGGTTGTCTTTCACCATTCTGGTGAGCCCACTGCCAATCCCACCACCATGTGTGTACCATGTTTCTTTACGAGAAGAAACAACACATCATAAAGTTAATTTAATTGTGGAAAAATTTCCGCTGGCAAATATAGGTACCTCATAAAGAGCTACACACATCTGCTCCAAGCCAGGTCCTTCCCTGGTTCCTCACCACCATTAGAGCACTCTGGTCTCCCCAGAAAGTTTCCACATAACCTGCTCACTTCTGTGCTGTGACCAGAACCTGAATTACAGCAGTTGTTTCTCTTCAAACCACATCTAGGTACATGTGGGCTTTAAGAGGGGCAAATATGCCCTGCAAATTAACCCTCCTCAGGGAAGGAATGTCACACAAGCAGCCTTTAGGGCCTTTTCTACACTTTCCAAGCTGGCAGGGCACAGGAATAGTAACAGGAAGTTTCTGGCCATCCTTTCCACCATCCAACTACAGAACAGAGTTGAAACAAATTAGTGCAACCAGCTTGCACACACACAAGTGCACAGCAGCACTGCTTTCACCTCAAGCCAGGACATCTCTGTACACCCCATTGCTACTGCTCTGGCCTTACATGAAAATCCCAGCATGGCAGAGAAAGGGCTGAAGGGAGGAAGAGGAGGCCAGATGGCATCCACACTCCCCCATTCTCTGAGGAACGCCGACTCCTTGAATTCCTACCTCCAGGAGGAGCTGAAGCAGATGATGGAGAGAATGAGGGTACCCATAAGTAGAAAGATGACAGCAAGTGGTATTATCCGAGAACTTTCCTCTTCCTAAAACTTTAGGAAAGCATACTTAATGATATCACAAACTATTTGCTGTCTCTGCACCACAGAAATGTTATTGCTTGTAAGGTCACCTCCATTAAAAGGTTTTTCCTTAGATGGCTCCAGATAGGGTAGTCAGCTCATTGGAGTGCAGACAGCTATATTGACCTCATCTAAGCTGTATAAGCAGGCTACAGAGGAAATTTTTTTTTTTTTTAAATAGTTGACATCACCAGAAATTTTGGTTGAAGCCTGTGACATTGCTGAGGTCTATTAGTTGGGGAGCTAAGCTCTGTGCTTCTCCTAGCAGATCATTGCAGGGGAAGTCTCATGCATGCTTCTCCATCTCTCACCCAAACACCACTCATTCCCATTTTACAGTCAGTTACCCCCAATAACAACAAAGAATGCAGTAAGACAACAAGGATCTCCCTCAATGGGGCAGGCACACAGAAAGTCCCCTTCCTATGTACATCAAGCTCCTTTTCTTCTTGTCACTCAGCCTCATGTCTCTTCTCCTCCACTTTCTACTCAAGTGGAGAGTTGCGAGGTCTTAGAGAACAGCTTTGCTGCAGGAACTCCTACATCAACAAAATCCTCAGAGTTGCCATCTTTACAACATCTTCCTCAAATTTTATTAAATGCTTACAAAAAAAAAAAAAAAAAAAGAATCCAGGACGCAGTAAATTTAAGCAGAAAGCACATTGATGCAGGAGGAGAGAGAAGCTGCCCTCCCCTCCAGGAGGGCAGAAACAAGTTGCAAAATTATGTTGACATGGGAAGAGGGTAGGGATAAGACTTTAAAGAGAGGATGGGAGACATGCTAACACCATGAAGTATAAAGACATGGGAGAGCTCAGAAACAGCCCTGGCCAGAGTGCTGCTCTTCAGGGGCTCAGTTTGCCCACGTTCACAGCAAGCCCCGACCTCCCCACACAACTCGGTAGGATGCCGTTTCACCGAGGCAGCTTCCAGCACAAGAGCAGCAGCCATTTCCCAGATACCCTGTCCACCTCTGGGAGCGAAGCAGGCAGGTTATCAACTGCTTCTGACATTCGGAAGTGTTTCAGTCACTGGCACCGGAGCCCACAGGTGAGAGGAGAAGCAAATCCCTTTCCCAGAGAAGGGAGATAACACCAGTGGTCAGCACTTCTCACCTGGGAAAGAGGATCTCCAATCCATGTTAGGGAGAGGGAGGCAGCAGCTGTTTGAAACAAAGCTGCTATTGCCACTGTCAAGGTGGAAAAGTGGCAGAAACATTTTGGCACGGGAATGTAACTGTGATTAAAGAATGATCTGGGAACTAAAGAAAAAAACAGGATTAAGTTGAATGTGGTTTGGTATACACAGAGAGACCAGTACATGGAAGTCCCTCAAAGAAGGTGTTGTAGAGGGACAGGCTGCACAGTAGACAGGGGAAGACTTTACCTACAGCTGGCACCAACTGGGTGACAAGTGGTCCTTGCAGTCTCCTCAGGCTCAGGATCTGCCCGTTGCCCTCCTTTCAAACACTGATTCTTTTACCGGGTTTCTGCTGAGCTCCCTCTCTCCCACCACCCAACCACCAAGAGCCACAAAAGTAGAAATTCTTCATCGTGTAGAAAAAGCCTTGCCAACTGAGTGAGACAGAAGATCCCTCTCTTCCAACACTTGAGAAAGAAGACAGGGGGAGAGAGGGCAAAGCCAGATAAAAAAAAAAAAAAAAAAAAAAAGTCAGAGTCACATAGACAGTTAAAACAGGGATGGGTTTTGCCAGCTGATCTAGTTCCTTTCATCCAACCGGAGGCAGCGTGGGGTATTGCTCACACCCCGAGAGGAGTCAGGCTGTACCAAAGCAGACTGACATCAGGCAGGAGAAGTGAAACATCCTTCAGTTATCTTCTGTGGAGCAGAGGAAATAGTGGCATTGAAGGTTGCATCGAGCCAGGACCAAGCTCAGCTGCAAGACAAGAAAACAACAAGTTTATACATAACCCTTTGGCCTGCCACGGGCAACACCCCAGGCTGTACAGAGCCTGCATCTTGTTTAGCAATTACAGGTGGTTTTCTCCCACCCGTTTCCACAAAGCCCTGTGAATCAGCCCATAAAGCTTCAGCACCGCAGGACAGTCAACCATGCTGCGTGCCCATGGCAGAGGAGGTGCCGAGGGCTGCGCGCCCGGCAGAGATCACGGCTGCCCAGGCAGTGGGAAGGGTGTGCTCCTGCCCAGCCGAGGAGATCTCCTCCCGAGGAGATCAGCAGGCTTCCTTCCAAGCCTGAGAAAGCCACTGAAGGGGAGAGCGCGTTCCTACAGCCCCCGGCAGCCACAGCTCTCCGCCTGGGACCATCTGCGGTGGTATCGGGTTCCCGCAACTCGCGATCTGCTCCACGCACGACAGCTGGCGCGGCCGAGGGGCTCCAGCACGCAAATGACTTTTCCACGGCAGGATAAATGACTCCCTCCATGCTGACGCTCTCCCCACCATTCCCCGCTTGGGGTTGGCTGCAGATGGAGCGGAGTTCAGGACAACAGTTGGGGTCCAAGAGCAGGCGACCTCCCCTTCACCCACGAGCACTCAATCAACAGCAGGGAAGCTTAACCCTTTGAGAGCCTCTTGACTCAGCTTCTAGCTTAACTTCCTTGCACCTTATCACGAACCCACACAAGTTTCTTGGGCAGTATTTTCCCCATTGTCCCTGGGTTTTCAGCTCTGGCCTTTCCGCTGGTAATAAAGCACGTCTGTCTGTCCCTTTGCTTTTGCCTCATTACACAGCAAGGGAGAAGATGATCACAAATCTTGCTCATTGAAGAATTTCTCTTGAGTACACAAAGCTCTGAAGCAGACTCATCAAACAAAGCCAAGCATGACAGGGAAGGCAAATAAATTAAGAGCTCATTTCCCTTTGCTGCCTCTTAGTATCCCTCTGCCTCACTAGTCAAACACACAGACTCGAACACAGTCACATACCGTGGAAATTACCACCCACAAGGTCTCCAAGACCCACAGCACAGCGGGTTTCAAGTCAGATGGGATGCTGAGATAGTAGGAAGAGTGATTTTAAGAGCACGGACTATTGTATAAGACCACAAATCTTGATGTCATGGGGCACAAAGCAGCCTCTAACTTTGGGAACAGAGGGAAAGTTTTCCTGGTGCACGCAGATTAGACCTCAACTTACCACTCCAAGAACCCCTCATGCCCTCCTCAATAGCATCTGGCAGTTTGCAGCAAATCCAAGGCAAGATCCTGCTCTGGGCCATGTGGGAAGCTGCATTTTTCTGGGGTGCAGCAGTCCATAAAACAAGGAAAACACTCAAAGAGCTGATTAGTAGTTGGGCAGGTTCACTGCCCTGCCTCTTTAGTATTCCTAACACAAACCGCAAGCAGGTCAACCTTCTAATTCTGGTTTACCAGAGCTGCTAGACCACAGCTCATCTTGTAGTACAGTCTGTCTGCGGGATCACATTAAACAGGAGCAGATTAAATCATTCCACAACCAATTCTAACATCAGATGCATGCACTAGCTCACCCTGCAGCAGATATAAATCACACAAGCAATTACCAATTCCTATATAAGCAGAACCAGAGTAGTGTTGCGCAAAAGCAAGTATGCACCTCTCCAACTGAGGCATTTTGGCTTTTTGACCCAGAAGAATTTAAAATATCTGCAAGGCTGGGGAAGAGAGAAGGTACAGGATGAAGGAATGGGCTCTCAGCCTTTTTCAGGTCAGCACAGACTTATTTCTAAGAGTAGCTCTTGAAACAGAGCAAGTCCTAATCCCAGCCTTGTGCCTAAGGCATGAAGCTGATAAGCCACTGGGAATGCCCAACAGTTGTCACCCCCAACTGGCACAAATCCCCTCTGAGCCCCCTTGCCGAAACAGCAGGAGGTTTCTCATGCCTGCAACCGAAATAATAGAATCATAGAATAGTTTGGGTTGAAAGGGACCTTTAAAGGTCATCTTGTCCAACCCCTCCTGCAATAAGCAGGGACATCTCCAACTAGATCAGGTTGCTCGGAGGCCCATCCAACCTGACATTGAATGTTTCCACAGATGGGGCATCTACCACCAATCTGGGCAACCTCTTCCAGTGTTTCATCACCCTCATCATAAAAAAATTACTTCCTCTGAATCTACCCCCTTTTAGTTTAAAACCATTACCCCTTGTTCTATCACAACAGGCCCTACTAAAAAGTCTATCCCCATCTTTCTTATAAGCCCCCCTTATATATTGAAAGGCCACAATAAGCTCTCCCCTTCTCTTCTCCAGACTGAACACCCCAACTCTCTCAGCCTGTCCTCATAGGAGAGGTGCTCCAGCCCTCTCATCATTTTTGTGGCCTCCTCTGGACCTGCTCCAACAGGTCCAGGTCTTCCCTGTACTGAGGAAATCAGTTGGTAGCAATGCACCACCTGCTAGACACTGCCCACCACAACCTCTGCTCTAGAGGACAGCTTATCCACCATGGCGAGGGCTTGACCTTGAAGGCTTTCAGTGCTTTCATTTGCTGCCACCTTTTTTTTTTTTTTTTTTTTTTTTTTGGTTAAGAGTCATCCTTCTTCCCCCCCCCGACACAACCAGATTTGGCAGATACAACACCTTACACCTTCCCAGCCTGGTGCTGACAGCAGCACTGCAAGCCTGAAGGCAACACTGGGCACTCAAGCACAAATAGCTGTTCTGCACTTCTGAGTTTTACTTGGGCTAGTTTTCCTGCACAGTAGGTATCGTGCTACACACCACACTAACCAGAGCAGGTTGGGAGCCACCAGGAACCAAGCAGAGCACATGCAATAGCCCCTCTGGGCAACCCTGACATCACCCACCTGCTCTTCCTCATTTCAGGATGCTCAGGTGCATCCAGCACTGGGGATTAAAGGGCTCAGTGATTTATGCCTCATTTCATAGCAAAACTCAGCAACTCTGTGCTGAGCGAGAGCCAGGGTAGAGTCAGATTTCTTTCTGGGGGCTGCCAAAGAGTCACTGCAGGTCGGAAGCTGAGCGTTCCAGTGTTCCCCAGCCTTGCTCAGGAAGAGAAAGACGAGAACTGAGACTAGTTTTATCTTTCTATCCTTAACACTGAGCCTGAGTTCCACTGTGCAGGAAATCTGACCAGTGCTCACTAGAAGGAGCAGGAGATGGTGGTGAGCTAGCAACAGAGAGGAGAAAAAGCAGCCATGCATCCCCCCCCAGGAGCAGCACAGCGTTGGCCAAAGGGGGTCCACGTGCAATTGCCATTGGGGAGAAGACCTGACCCAGACCACAACCCATTTCTGTTTCACTGAAGTCTTAGTGATATAGGCAGGGCAGTGGCAATGCTCCCCAAGGGAAAGAGAAAACAGTTTAATCTTGAGTGCAGAAGAAGGTTGCTGCTGTGCTTGACGCAGCGAGGAAAGACCAGAGTTAGTGTTGTGACAAAGCACTTCTCACCAGATAAATGCAGCTTTTAAAAAAAGTCCTGCATTTCACTGGGATGTCTTTCTGCCAGATGAAATCAATCAAGGCCACTGCTGACTTTGACTCAAATGACACGCGTAGTTCATGGCTGTTCTGTTGTACATAACATTGTATCAGATTATTAATAACTGGAATTTGGAAAGCCATGAAACGTTCCTGATTTGTGCCTCTGGAGAATGTTTCAAAGCTTCAAAATTTCAGACGCGCTCTGTTTCTCTTGACATTTCCTTCCAAATCCCATTAGGACTTGCCAAGACACGAATGTCTGGGGTCCCAAGGAGCTGTCACTGGATTTTGCACTAACACCAGGAGCAGGAAGGCTCCAGGTTTGGCAATACAGCTTCCCCCAGTACATCTCTTGCCCTGCCACACCACCCTCAAGACTGGCTGAGGCTACCTTGGGAGACCAAGGAAACCAAGACCGCTGCTCTTCTCTCACAATACTGACTCTATACTCATAGCTTTTGGAGAGAGGAAGAGGAGGCGTTATGTATGAATATTTCCGAGTCTACCCGAGGGCTAAACCCACACCAACTCTAAGCTCTGTGTTCTCTTCCAGGAGATGACAATGCTGATAACGGTATCATCCTCCATCCAGTCCGCTCCCACCCACCACCACCTTTCTCCCCCTCCCACCCTACCAAAGCCTGGGAAGGACAACCTGAGGCTCCAGCGGCTGCTGAAGAAGGCAGCCAAGAAGAACGCCGTCCTAGCTTCAGAACAAGCCAAGTCCTTTCGGTCCAGCCTTTCACCTGTGAACGAGGCCAGCCCTGACCTAGAGCACAATGAGAGTGCTCCCCCAGCAGAGACCCCTGAAACCACAGCACCCCCCGCCTCCACCAGCCTCCCAACCCGCCTCTCCATCAAGCCCATCACCCACCGCGTCCCCTCCCCTTTCCGAAAGAGCAAGCCTTTCACACTGAAGGTGACCGAGCAGAGGCGCATTGCTGAACACCTCATTCTCACGACCTCCTCGGCCATGCCCCTGCTACACAAGCCAGAAGCTCCTGAGACTCCACAGCAGCCTGAAGGCACAGACACCAACCTTCCCTCTCCACACAACCCTTCGACATCTGTTTTCCCCCAGCCTCCTCCTTCCAGTACACCCAGTAAAGAAAGGGCACCAGAGGTTACCTTTGTCACCAAGGGACACACTTATTTCCACAGTGTCAAGCCACCCAGGGCTAAGATGCCCACATCAAATCAGACCCAAGGAACCATCAGCCATGAAGACAAAAGGCCTTCTTCGCCAGCACCTGAATCAAGCCACTCTGAACCATCTCCAGGGCAGATACCCACCCTGCTTGATGACAGCAAGGCCACAGCCCCGGCACTGGAGCCTCCCCTCCTTTCTGTTGCAAAGGCAGAGCCTCCTAATCAAGCTCTCGAGCATGCTCCCACTGAAGAGTCCATCAGGGCCCCTTCACCCAAGCCCAGCATCTCCGATGCCCACATTGATAAGCCTACTACCCATGGGAATGACACTGAAATATCTGGATCGCAGAGAGTTCCTGAATTACCCAAGCAAGATGGCGACGTCCTAAAACCATCGACACCCAGCACTCCCTCAACGCAAGCACACCCAGTGACAGCAACCCCAGCACCAGGTGACAGTACCGAGGCCACCTCCACAGACACCAAGGCGGAGCGCATCGCTCAACCTCAGCCGACCCCCAGTTTACCAAACACCAGCCCTCCCCTCAAAGCTGAGCCAGCTCTATCGTCGGTAGAAGACAACAGACTTCCTGGAGCCAATGCCAGTGGCTGGCATCGCCTCAGGAAGCACTTGATGGTGCAGCCAGAAGCACCAAACTTCCCAGAGCCTGAGCAAGAAAAGCTGGTCCAGGAAGAAGGGAGCAAGGAGGAGGACAGCTCTCAAGCAATCATCAGTCAAGACCACAGGCTGTTTAGATCAAGGGTCACAAGGATGTGGGATGCTATTTTATACCAGATGACAGTCAACAAGGAGAGGAAGCAGCAAGCAGAAGAGAAGAAGCCACGGAAGGAAGAAAGCTTCTTTCTTCCCCGTCGCTTACCCATCTTCCTACATAAGCCACGCTTCGACGCACGGAAACTGAAGGAACTGGCTACCAAACCCATGACAAAGATCAGCAGTGGGTTCGAGGTGAGCCGGTTTAGACCCAAAGTGTCTGAGGAGCACAGCAAGAGCTTTAACAGAACGGCATCAGGATGGTCAGTCAACTGAAGCCAGGCTGTGCCACCAGGCCCGTATCTCTGGAACTTCCTACAGGGCACCAAGCAAGAGAGCACCTATGATTAGGTTTACTGCCCAGATCCAAGCGTAAGGAAAAAATAAAATGAAATAAAACCCCTCCAAGCCAGCAGCCTCATGCTGTGGGTTTAAGGGTTACTCTCCATACATATGTAAGCTTGAATGAATAACATACCACATCCACAGGTCATGAGCCAGGAAAACAAACATGCACTTGTTTTAAAAAGAGCCAAGAACAAGCACTATATGCAGTAACATGGGGAAGAGAAGGGAGGCACACAGCGAAGAGTACAAATTACATGTAGGAAAAGCCCAGTTTGGGGAGGAATGACAGAACCTGAATTTGTTGTGTTTATTTAAGACCAAGATAAAGCCTAGAAACAGGCAGTTGTAGATGAGACAACATGAAGGAATCTGGGTCGCTCCACATCTCTAGGGAGTCTTAGAAACTGCACTCCAAGAAGGTACACATCATCTCTTCAGCTTCTCCACTGGAAGTGCCCCACACTCATTTGCTGGGAACAAGGTGGAAACTCACCCTTTCATCCAGGGCGCAGACAAGAGACAGCATAAGATATCCACCCTGCTCTCACATAGCAGTTCCCCTGCCTAAAAAAGTGGGCATCATCATCTGATGTCCTCCTAGGTCAGTCTACTAAATTGTAGTGCAGAGAAGTCTAATTTTGTTGCAGTAATCAAGCTCTGTTATGTATTTTACCATGTTTTAAGTACAGCTGAGGGCTGGTCTTTTCACAATATTCGACAAGAGCCTGCTTCAGCATGTGGGTATCCAACTCTGTATTTAATCAGGTGCTGATTTGGGGGGGGGGGGGGGGGGGGGGCGTGGTTCTGCTAACTGCAGTAATCTTGTTTTCAGGGTGAATATTGTGATAATTGCACACATACTGGTGCCTAATGTCCTGAAAAAGGGTATTTAAAACAAAATCCCCAACTCTGTCCATCCAGAGACAAATGCGCTTTCCAGCATTATAGTCACCCTTTGCATCTTCATCACCACCAGGCTTATGAGCAGGAAAGCTGGAGATCAGCTATTTCTGTTTCACAAGGGACTTTGTCATATGCTGGGATGTTCCTACACAGCTAATATAGGATTGCTATGTTTAGTCCAAACAGGAAACTTGATACGCAGCTCTTTACATTCTCTTCATGTGCAGAGGATATGGAGCCGATCAAAATTTCTGCAAGCCAAACTGCAAACAGACTTAGAAACAAAACCAAAAGCCCCTTCTGCTTTTCTGAAGTCTCACAATTTTGCAACGATGCTACAAGAAGAGCTTAGTTATCATTGAACCTTCACTGAAGTTTTCACTTTGCTGGTATTATTGTCTGTTTTGTAACCCCTTCCCTGTACTAAGGTGGGAGGGGGGAAGCGGGGAGAAGAGAAGAATATCCCAGGCACCTAAAGTATGGATTTCTCTGACCCCCCCAGTTTTCTAAGAAAAAGCTGAAAAAAGGTAGGTTGGAAATGCACAGTAATCACGAGTGAATCCAAGGTAAGCCTCTGCAGGATAATTCAATATGCTGCAAGAAAATGCTATAGAGAAAGATGCCCATAGCAACACAAAAACAAAAATCAAAATGAGTGCAGCGTAAAACACGTAGAATGCCTAATGCCAATAAAGGTGACCTTAACCACACAGTAATAAAATGGCACCTTACTGTAGCCCAGCCAGATGGATGTCTATGCACAAGAGTCTGCATTCACAAGATCCACAGCATTAGCGTGAAGCAGAACAGCCAATACTGATTGCACTTGGGAGGCAGTGAATCTGGCCAGAGAAGATGGCTTCAGAAGCAATTGTGCTTTAATCCACTTTGTCCTGCAGCGAGGACGGCCACCCAGAACAAACCAGTGACTCGCACGAGGCTTGCGTTCGGCATCTGCTGGGCTTCCCCCCCAGGCTGTGCCCAGAACCCAGCCCCTCTGCACAGGGACGGGGAATCGCTGGTGGAAGAAGGCAGGTCTGGCTTTTGCCCCAAGAGTGAAGGGCAGAGGCGTACAGAGGACATGGCAAGTCCTGCAGAGACAGACCCTGGCACGAGAGTATCACAGAGGAGAGGACAGATGCCTGGAGGCAACAGACTTCCACCAGCGGCTCTGCGTCGGGAGCCACCGTGGCATGTCCCACCCTGAGCTGCCGTGCTGAGCAAGGGAAGGGGAACACCATCTGGGCACAGGGTTTGGTGGTTTTTCAATGTCAAACAGCCTCGGGCAGTTGCCAAGAGCCCAAATTGCCACTTAAAGAAAACCTCTTGCTCCGCAGCCTGCTCAGAGGTCCTGCAGCTCAGGAAGGGAGGGGAGGAAGAAAAAAAAAATGTACCTGTGCTCAAGCAACTAGAAAGCTGATAAGGTGGTGTTGAGCGAGTGACACAGGGGTGAGCCAGAGGGTTTGGGAACAAAAAAGGCAACCACAAAGGGATCTAGCAGGAGGGAAAAAGGATGAATATAGTTCACAGCGTGGAGAGGAGCTGGGGAGCAGGGACCTCACAGCACACAGAACAGCCAGTTAAAACCCCAAGGAGCAAAACAAGCCAAGATCCTTCAGCTATCACAGTCCTTTTGCTATTCACAGTCAAAAAAAAACAAAACAAAACAAAACTTCCTTGTGAATGAGCCCATAGGGCAGCAGTGTTATGCGTGGCTGTTTGGAGTACTGAGTGGATCCTAGAGGACATCCCATGACGGTCACTGGCCTTTCAAGAAAGGATGCTGGAAAAAGACCAGAGCCAAGGGCACTTTCCTTTGAACTGCTTGCAGCAGCTCAGGTAGGGCAAAAAACTCATGGGCTGACAACCCAGCAAAACCTGTTTGCTATACAGAACTGAAGCTCAGTAGGATCCCACCTGGTGCATCAAAACAGACTTCAGGAAAAAGAAGAAGATTGATCAAAGAGGAGACCTTAAAATAGATTTCCAAAAGCCACAGGCAGAGAAGCAAGTTGAGGATACAAGTTCTGCAGGCTCCTCCTCCTTTACCTCTAAAAGCATAGCTTTGGGCAGGCTTGGGTTTGTACTGCTGCCCATCTCGATGTGGTATTTGAGAGAGTTTCTCTTCTAAATGGGCACCACAAATGGAAAAAAAAAAAAATTAAAAAAAAAAAAATCAAACAAAAACCCCCTAATATACTGCACTCCAAAGCCAGCTCCTTGAAAGATAAAAAAAAAAAAAAAAAAAAAAAAAAAAAAAACCAACCAGAAGGAACACAGCCCCCAGAAGAATTCAGAAACAAAAGGTGTTTTGTAGCAGACAGAGCTATTTATAAGCTTGGCTATGAAATAAAGCTTCTTTTTTTATAGTAGGAAAAAAGAGAATGAGCTTGTTTTCACCCCCGACAACTTCCTCTCCCCTTGCTGTGCCAGATGCTGCCCAGTTGGATCCAACCGGTTATCACCTCCCTCTACATCATTCCTCCTTACTGCCGTAACCCTCTACTATCATCCACTCAAGATAACACCAGGATATCTATTAACATTAACACAGTATGAGCATGAAATCCAAAGACCATTTCAAGAAGGCACAGAGGCAGCAGCCCAGCTCTGCCTTCCCCCTTGCTGCACATCAGAGGACGGTCCTTTCTGCTCTGTTGGACTACCCAGCACAGCAGATGTGTGCGTCCTCCCCACTACAACCCTATTATGGACGGGTTCCAAGAGGTTACTGAAATAATTAAAAGTTTTTCCCCTGATTAATTCAGTAAATCTGGGAATTAGACCCCAGAAGCATCTGAATTTCAGGAGTACATCAGCCCTCTTGCTAAGCCAGAATGACCTCCAGCTATCTACTTCTTGTGTCATAAGAGAGCATAAATAAAAAGAGCAGATAGAGACTGTTCCTTTGAACTAGCAAACACACTTTCACCCAAGCAGCAGTAGCTAAGGGACTTATTCTGCAGATTAGACACAGGTATCCAGCTTTCTAGCAGCATCAGAAAGTCAGAGACCAAACAAACCCCTGCTGTGTACCCACTCCCTTCCAGCTCAAAGTCAGGCATTTGCACAGAAGCAAGGCTCCAGCTGCTGCCATACAGTACCTTCCAACTTACCCGAAGCGTAGCTGGCAGAAATAACCCCAGCACCCTGCCAGAGCAGCGCCAGGAGTTTGTTACACAACGCAAGGTCACGTCCCACCTACCTGGTTAATGAGTTCTCCAGGCATGCTATTGCTCCGCAGCATCATCTATCAACACCTTCTTGTACTGGCCATGGCCTGTTGCAACAAATTTATACTTCTTGCCAGAAGGGTTGGACTGAACAGGAGAGAAAGGAAGAGCCAAAATCAGCGTTTCTCTCCCCCAAATAGGCAGCCAAGATCAAATAACTGAAGCCAGAGGAGCATGCATGCGATCCAGCTGTGCGTAATCCCAGAGGGCCTGGAGACAGCCTCCTCGGTACTCCCTCCTCACCCCTTCCACGTAAACTCTGCACAGACCAACCACCACCTTCTATAAGCATAAGTTGACACGGCAAGCGCAGGATGTGTGTTAGGAAAGGGAAGATGTAACGCCAGGCATTGCGAGGAAGGGCTCATCTGATTGCCCTGACCCCCCCCTCCCCAGCCAGGGTTGATTTTATCCATGGCAAGAGCCAGTTTCATTTACCACATACTGGCAGAAGTACCAAGCCAGGAACAGACAAAGTATTTTGATCTTCCTCTGCAAGCCTGGATAGTTTGAGCAGCAGCTGCTTGCAGCTTTTTAATAGTCATGCCCACAAACGTACCCATAGGCACAAAACCCCAGATCCATCTGCAAGCGTTGATATTGTCTTAGGTTCAGTCTCAATTTTGCATGTTTTCTTTACTCTTGAGATTAAAAAAAAAACATAACAAGAGCAAAGTAACTCACATTTGCAGCTCATTTTGAGCCTAGAAGGCTGGGGCTTCCAACTCATGGGCTGAGAACAGCATGCTATTTGAAAGATCCTTCAGTATTACTGGTTGTAAAATGATTTTTGCCCCCCATTTTTACTAGGGCTGAAGCAATATCAGCTCACTGTTAGGAAGAGCTCTTAGATAGGCAATTGCACTGACAGATAGAGGCAACCCTTGTCTCTGCAGAACATCACCATCTTCTTAATGTTTCCAGACCAGCCAAGAGCTCTTCTTCACAGCAGAGCAGGTGCTTTCATACTCACAGAGATACTAACTCACCTTGATATTGGTCTCAGGTTTGGAATTGCCCTTCTGTTCCCAAAGGCTTCTTTTACTCACAATATCTCCAGCCACGATATCCTGAGGAGATGATGTTCTCATTACCCTTCATTGCTAACGCTGCTGAGCAAGCCTTTGTTCACGTCCCTTTCAAACCCACACCTCTGACCTCCTTTTTTATTTATAATATCACATCATCTGACCTATGACAGCTGCAGCTAAAACCCATGACTGTGAAAACTTCTTCCTACTCCCAGTATATCCTGTTTTCCTCTTTCTCACTCTCTTCAAGAGCTTGGATCAGAGACTCAAGCTGTTTATTTTAAGTTCATTAACTATTTCAGATATGTTAACATCAAGGCTTTTTTTTTTATGTGGAAGGAATTTTGTTCACATAAACACAGATTTGCAAGCCATGTGTTACAGAATCAGCCTCACTCACAATGACCAAAAAGTGAAATTACTAAGAGAGCAGTACATAATACTCTTTGCATTTTCCAAGTTTATGAGACTTACCACCTTGGTACTAAATCCAACTCTGTGCTCAACAACTGGAGCTCAGTCCTAGCCCCTGCAGAAGACATACACGTTCTCCCCACCAGCTGATTTGATTCCCATTTCAAAACCTCAACCAGCATCACAGCAGCTTTGCTAGCTCTACCGCCAAGGAGCAAGTCAGGACCCCGGCACAAAGCGAAGCTCTGAGCTACAAGATCCTGATGAAGGAGACTGCCTCTTCGATATAGACACCTTGAGAGCTGGTGGGCACCAACAAGGAGCTGTACCAACAGGCTAGCACAGGCGTAACGCAGGTTGTGCCCAGAGGCCAGCCCCTCTCCCCCACCCCAAGCCATACCTTACAGGGCTTGGGTTTGTACTGCTGCCCATCTCAATGTGGTATTTGAGAGAGTTTCTCTTCTAAATGGGCACCACAAATGGAAAAAAAAAAAAAACAACAAACAAATCAAACAAAACCCCCCTAATATACTGCATTCCGAAGCCAGCTCCTTGAAAGATAAAAAAAAAAAAAACAAAAAAAAAAACAACAGAAGGAACACAGTGCCATACCTTACAGGGCTGGGACTTCACAGCAGACTGAGCTGCAACTTCTCCAGTCTCCCACAGGCTTTTCGTGCTGGCTACCATCATGCTCGTGGTCGGAAGGTCAAGAGAGGGCTGTCGGACAGGTTTTGGAGCCTTTGTGGATGTCTGGAAGAGTAAATGGAGAAAGATCACCATCAGAGAGTGTGTGCTTTTTTTCCCCCCCCTGTAATTGGAGGTCCTCAGGGATGAGAGGTTGTAAAAGGAGACTTGTAGGGTCTCGCTAGTTCCTGCCAGATGCTCCCACCCTTTAAGCAGGGAACATGAGGATACAAGGATGGGGCAGCTTGCTAAAGAATGCTGTAGAGGGAGATAGAGACAGGAGGAAGGGTTGCTGCCATCCAAGAGGAGAGGATTCGGTCGTCCCCTTCCAGGTGGTAAAAATAAGAGGCACAGTGGTAGAACAATGCCTGGCAAAGAGGGCTTCTTGGAGGGTGGGGACAGAGAGACAATACAGCAGCTCACCTCAATAGCCTGCGTGTACTGCTCCAGCCTGTCATCGATCTTCGACACAGGGAGGGGAGGCTGAGTCTTCTTTACACTGTTACTGGAGGGCAGAGAAGAGAAGAGGGGTAAGATGATCCCCCAGTGCCTCAAGCAGAAGGCAGGACTTTGAGGGCCACAGGCAGCCTGTCACTCCTGCCCTTCCCCACAGCATCCTCCATTTCCAGGAAGGGACCTGCTTTACCCCAAGGTGAACCCTAGAAATACCTTTTCTTTATTGAGCGGTTCAGTGACTCAGTTCTGTCCGTGATCTAAAGTGGGAGAGAAAAGGCAAAGATATTACTCTTGTCCACGGACCTCAGATAGATGTAGGTCACCTCAGCTGACCATAATTCAACCATTTCTCTTCCCTGATCCCTCACCCAGATTTTGGTTAGAAATACTTCGCTCAGTCCCATGTTCCCACACTGGTCAGAGAGACAGTAAGCATCCCCTTCTGTTCTCCTTTCCAAGGCAGGTAAGCAGAATCCCAGCCAAAAGCACCAGTGCACAGTAGCAGCCCGACCAGCATCAGGGGCAAACCAACAACATGCAGCTTGGCTGACAGCTGAAACAGCAACCAAGACCGTTTTCTCTACCCCTTCTGCTCAAGGGCTAAGTCTCTCTCTATGACACCTAGTTTACTTGCCAGACAACAGAAAAAGTGGCACAAGTGGAAAGACAAGGGGGAAAACTAGAGGCACTGCCAGCCATATCTGCAGAAGAGGAGCCAAGCACGACAGCAGCACAAGCATGAATTACATCAACTTATCCACACCAGAGAAGCACACAGACAGGGCAAATCAGCACAGGGAGCCACCTGCAAGGCAGCCCTTCGGGTCAAGCCATCAGAAAAGGGGGAGTTTTGCACAAGAGGCTCCTGTGCAAGAACTCTTTAACCAAGACAGGAAGACAAGCAAACACTCCACAACTACTAAATAAAGGAAAGCTGAAATGTTGCTAAACCGCACAGCTCTTTGGTGCCCCAGAAAATAAGAACACAGAGAGAAAAAAAAAAAAAAAAAAAATCACTTTCAAGTCAAAGGGGAGGCTCTTAATACCAGCTCCTATAGAACCAGCAACCAAGTAACAAGGAGTCTTCCCTCCTGTGTAACTGCTGCCTGTGCCACAGGAATCATCACCTACCAAGTTAGCAGATAAAAGGCAGCGCTAAATGCTCCGTTTAAGATGCTTTCAGGATGCCAGTGCCAAATTTTAGCTAAGCAGAAGACAAGTCATTGTCACAGAGACGACACATTTCAAAGCTGTGCCCAAGAGCACAAGGCCCATTAGAGGAGAGCACGACCATCAAACGGTGCAACCCTGGCTAATAGAGATGTGCAAGGGAGAGTCGCTCTGCAACACAGCAGCGTGACAGACATGCCATCAGCCAGCTTTTTCTGCAGGGGAAGGCTGTCTGCCTGCTGCCAGCTCGCTCCTTCGCTCCGTGCTGCAGGAATTGATGCTCGCCTGCGAGCCGTGACTTCAGAGATCGGGTTGTGCATCCTTCTGGGACACTGACGGGTAGGCTGGCACCTCGTGGGGCACAACAGCACCTGAAAGGGGAATCTGGTAGATCCCTGCCTACACCTCAGCTTCTCAACCACAAGTAGATAAGATAGCAACAGGAAAAAAAAACCATGCCAACCCTGCCAGAGAGATCCTGTGCAGGTGCAAACCACCCACAAGTACTTCCAAAAGTGAGCATCAACTTAAACAGAGGAGCCTAGAAAAGGCTGCAGGTGACAGATCTCAGCATGCCAGTCTAGGTGGGAACAAGCTTTCCTTAAGCTATTTGGAGACCACCTCCCCCCTCCAGCAAGAGTCATGCCTTTGGTCCAAAGCACTGCCTGAAGGCCAGAAGAAACCACAGTTGCTCACTCAGCCATTCTCAAAACTGAGCTCACAAGCAGCTGGGGACAAAACAGGGCTGGTACAAGGCTTCCCCCCCTGCCACCACACATCTGTTTCAGCCCCCAGGCCACACTCTGAACCCCAAACACCCCACCACACTGCAACCCAACAACCCCCTGGCCTCCACCTGCCACAGCTGCCAGGGGACCTCACCTCTCACCACGGATGCTCTCATCTTTCCACTCCAAGCAATGTTTCTGCTGAGCAATCCTGTGATAAAACACCTTCTTGCTGGCCAACGTGTTTAATTCTTAGTGTCTGCACAAAGCCCTGCTAGCTGGGGTGTAAAGATCCTCCTTCCTTTGGAAGGATCCCAAGCTCATATTTTTCCTGAACAGCTTTACATTCGACTTTGTGCATTGGTGAGCTCTGACACCACCATTATAAAACACAGAGACTATATTTCTAAACCTTTCCCTTGGCTAATCCCAGCAGCAGCAGTTAAGCTCAGGTCACAAAGCTATGTGTGTTTTGGGGTTGTAGCGACAAAAGTTTCAGCACATTAAAGGCACTGGGAGTCTTTCCCACATTTTACCACCAGTCCCACTCCAGGGACATGCTTTGGCCAACCGACACCCCACTTTTCAAACCTAACATTAGCACATGGCCTGCACCCAAACCCACTCTTTCTCCCCTCTTTATTTCACTTTTAAAAGGCTTCTCCATAAAGAGCAAGAATCTGATGATCACAGGTGATGAAACCTTCCTCTTACGATCTATTTACTGGTGCAAGAGGAAGCGGCTTGAACAATCCTCCCAGCCCAGGAAGTATTGACTAAGCAGCAAATAGCACAGATCTAAATGCAAAAAGGCAGAGATAACACCAACAGCAGATTAACAGGCTATCCAGGCTCCTCACCTTTTCCCCTCACTGCTTTAATCAACAAGCCCATGGCTTACAAAGACAAAAAGCCATTCACTATCAAAATCACTTATCTGTACCTATTGTATTTAAAAGCGCATGCACAGAGCTGAGGATTTGTAGTAAACCTAACAGAAGTCATGAGATGCAATTCAGGTGGTGTTAAAAATAGAAGTTTCACAAGATCGTCAATGCAGACAGATGTGATTGCTTCAGAGATCAGGAATCCCAGTTTGTTTAAAAAAATGAAGTCATACTTTCTGATTTTATTCTAGGAAAGACAGGGAAATTCCAGTGCTTCAAGTTTTTGGTTTTGTCTTTTTTTTTTTTTTTTGAGGAAGGGAAATTTTATTTTCTGATTAAGTTCATGTGCAGTCTTTGACCAAATTCACAAGCTGAAAGCACAAACATCTTTCTCAGTATTACAATATCCCCCGGAGTCTTTCAATGAACTTTAGACCTCTACAGTGGCTGACAAAGTATATAGAGAGACAGTTACAGCCTCCAACAGCTCAAACAGGCAAACCAGGAGGTGAGGAGGTTGACAGCCAAGGAAGATGAGGGAAAAGGATCAAGTGATTTGTCCCAACCTGTAGCAGGAGTGGGATAACAGGATTCACACCCTACGTTACTGCAAGCCCTGGATCATCTTTCCTCATCACTAGTTAGGTGCTCTATTGCGATAGTCGCTGAGCCTCCGGGGGGGCCCCAGGAACACAAACCTTCATGGAGCACGCTGCGGCGTGGTCAGAGCATAGCTCCTCCTCTTCCAGGCTGGCAGGGCTTGGGGCCTTCTGGCGTTTTTCTGCTGTTTCTTCTTCCTCTTCGTTTCTCCTTCTCTTCTTTTCCTGAACGCAGAAAATGAACAAGCCAGGAAGCGAGCTGGTCAAACTGCTTACTACGCAACAAAAGCGATTTTTTCCCCTGTCTCCCAGGCTTCCTGCTTTACACTAAACAAACATGTGAGCACAGAAACATTGACTTTACATCATCTAATTCTGAAACATCCAGGAAGAAGCTCATGTGTCATTTGGGGGGGAAACAGAAAAATTTTGCAGGTTCAAGGTTCCAAAATTACATGGAAAGGGGTCTTGGCATTAGTTAAAGATTTCTTACTGGTTTTGACAGGAAAATATTAATTTCTCATTTAGAGGCCACAAGGAGGGAGAGCAGCTGCCTTTAGAACAAGGGGCTAGAAAGTCACACACACAGTTCAAATGCAAAAGGCACTCTAGGATCATCAAGTCAAAATCCATTTACAACAAAAGGTATTTGAAGCTCAGCCACCCTAACGGGCTTGCACACCATCCAAGTTCCAGCTTTGTCTCTCTCATTGACCGGGAATTGCACCTTGTCAGAAGAGCAAAGAAAGAAAACCCCAGGTGGGAGCAATGCAAGATTTAGACACACATCAAGCCAAAGTGCTCTGAAGAGCGTGATACAGGCTGCGGAGAGAAGAACAAGCAGAAAAATTTAGATTTGAGTTCTCCTGAAGAGCTACTCACTGGCCACAAAGCCACAGGAGAAGCAGTAGCACTTTCCTTCTCGGTATTGCGGGGACAGGACTAAACCACCGCAGTCTCTGGAGCAAACACAGCACCCTGGGCAAGAGGGCAGAGGCTGCCCGCAGCGTCCCCGAGGCGGCACCGCAGGCAGGAGTGGCACCAGCCCCAGGTTCTGCCGTGGAAGCGTGCCAACATGGGCTCGACACCCAGCAGCGTAAGCAGCAATGCTGAGCCCAGTACTTGGAGAGCAGCCCCCAGCCCCAGCTCTCCCACCGGCCCTGGGGAGAGAAGAAAGTCAGCCCCTCCCAACCACACCTCTTGCTTGTCTCTCTCCTCTCCTTCCTGCTCTTGGACCCGTTCTTCCTCCTGGCCCAGCCTCTCTTCCTCCCCGATATCCACATTCTCCTCCTGGATTTCCTCCGGGCTTTCCCGCTCCAGCTGTATCTGCTCCAGTTTGACTTCAGCTTCCCTCACACCACCGTCCTCCTCTTCATACGACTGTCGCGGAGACCTAGAGGCAGGGCAGAGAGGTCAAAGAAGCAAAACGCATTGTTATGAGCCTACAGACACCATCAAGTTCCTCAGGCCTCTAGAAACCCGATTTTATCACTCCCCCCAAGCCTACAGCTTGCTGGCTGTTTTACACCAGGGCTCCCAGCCACTTCATGGCCCCATCCAGTTCCAGGCACCCAGCGGTAACAGCAGCCGCATCGCTCCCACACTGTGGATGTCCAAGACTCAGCTCAACTAAGAGTTGTGCCAGAGCTGAAGGTATCTGCACCCTGCCAGCCTCACCGTGGGCAAGACCCATGGGAAAACAGAGACCAGCCCTGCACTCAGACCCCGGGCAGAGACGACACTGCCACCATGATGTGGTGCTGGCTCAATTCCCCGCTCGGCTACAGCCTAAATCTCAGGAGAACCAGCACGCTTGGTGATCCTGGTGCACAGACACAGATCTGACCCCGACCCCACGGTTCCCAGCATCAACTCAACACGGAACACCAAACACAGCCTTTCTCTGCCCAAACTCATTTTCCACGTTAACAGAGCCTCTTGCTGGAGGAGGATCCAAGCAACAACACATGAACACGCTTCCCAAGATCCCCCTTTGCCCTAGTTGAAGCAAAACTGCAGGGCAAGGCTGCACAGCCACTTACTGGAGATGTTTTTTTTTTGGTTGCAAGGCACAGTGCTCCACAAGCAATGCTGTATCTACACCTGACCCTAAGCTTCAGTTTTTCCCACTGGAATAAATGACACCTCTACTCATGCCACAGCCCAGCAAAACAAAAGAGTCCCAAAGCAGCCAGGGGTCACCCCTTAGCTTCGGTTTTAAAAAAACACAATGGGGTTTGTACAAAAGGATTCTTCTAGGTGTCTGAGGCTGCAGAGAAGAGACCCAGGAATGTGTTTAAGCACCCAGCTTTGCAAAAGCAGACCAGCCTGTGCCTTTGGGCACAGAGTCAGTGGGAACGCGTAACCCCAGAGCTCTCACTGGTTCACAGCTGTGCACCAAGATGTCATTGCCACCATCCTTCCCCCAGCCAGAGAATAGCTTTCTCTTCCCACCCATTTCTTAGAAAATCACTGGGCTCATGATCGCAAGGCTCCAGAGCTGGCTAGCAGGCAGCTGCCAAAGTGCAAGGCTGACTCACCACTGCTTCTGCCCCGCCAGCCAGCACCAAAACGTGAAAAAAAAAGTTCAAGCAAGACTTTTCCACCCACCTGGTGGGTGGTGCTGCTGGGAAAGCAGCTCACAGGACAGCCACCATCCAGCCCTCCTCACTGACCACATGGGGAAAAAGCTGACGCATACGCTGGCTCACTACTAACCATCCTCCCACGACAGAGCAGTCACCAACAGCAAACGGGCTCCGAAGGCCCAGGTAACTAGTTTCTCTTAACCAGGATGCCAGCAATGCCTCCAGCTGAAGCACAAGCTTATGTTAAAAATTAAGGCCAGCAGGTACGATGAAGTCTCTAAGAAGCCTTTTGCACCACAGCAGTTTTGTATAGGAGGCAGCAAGCCTGACACAGCTCCCACTCTCTCGCGTGCAGCTGACAGCGTGGATCTCCCACCACAAAGTGGGGAACCAGAACCAAAAAGAAAACACAAAACCCTCAGGGGGTGCACAAGATGGGTTTGCTCCATCCAACAGAGAGCAACCATCTCCACCCCGCCTCATTCATAGCCACCACCCAAACATCCTGCACATGAAAAACCAGGGTTTGCTCCCTATTCACTTAAGCAGGAGAGAGGGGAGTTGGGAAGCCACAGCACTGCTTGTCCCGGCGTGGGGCATCCCAGAGAGACATGCAACCTACCCGTGCTCACACCACGCTCCAAACCTGTCCTTCAAGAAGGGCAGAGTTGCTGAAGGGATGTTATAGAGCCCAGACACCCACTAAAACAAGCCGAGCTTTTGCAGAAAACCCACTCCCAGCAGGCCCCCAGGGGCTGAGCCCCTTCAGCTGCCTCCCCCAACCACCTCCTAGCCAAAAACCTGCGCAGCTGCAGCTGCTGCCATTAAAGCACCACCCCTCTCTGATGGGCTTCACCTGCCACAGATGCCACCTCCCCTGCTCAGCAGCCTCCTGCCCCTCTACAGAATAAACACAAGCATCACATCAAAACCCGAGGAGCAATTTCCGGAGAGGATAACGCAACCCTTCCAGCAAATTCCCTTTCGAAGGCCAAGGAGGGAATAGCAGCAGCCTTTCTCTCCCGACAAGCTCTTTGCAAGGGGGGTGGAAAAAGAGGCAGCATGCCAAAAAACAGATGGGGCTGATTTCTAATTGCTCCCACAGATGTGAGAATTAACGCCGTGGCGAGGTGCTTGAGCAATGCTTGCGGGGTCAGGGCTGCGAAGGTACAGATTGCAGAGCGGTTTAGCTGCAGCGTTTGGGAAAAAGTAAGAAAGAAGCGAGCTTTATTTATTTGTTCAGCAGTAAATATTAATCTTAGGCATTTTTTGAGTCTCAGTAGTAAAGAAGAGGCTGTGTCATCAGAGGGGCAAAATTCCCTAGAAAATCAAGCTGCCGAGAGAGCTGAGTCACAGGCTTCACATGCAGGTAGATGGTGTCCAAGGGAAGTGGTTAAGGCAGGAGTTTGGTTCAGCTCAGCAAGGGGAAAGTGATGGGAGATGGGGACTAAACAGCTGGCACACAGGCACCTCTCAGGGCTTTGCTGCCTGTTCTCCCCTGCTGAAAGAGGAGTCAAGCGCAAGGTGGGCTGGGGCCATAACACCCACTATGCTGACATGAGCCAGGAAGCAGCGATAACTTAGAACAGCTTTTGGGGCTGGCCTGGATTATGTTAGGAGGCCGTTTCAGCCCCTGCAGCAGCTCAGGTGGCTTAAATCCGCTGTTGTCACTCCTCCGAGCCCAGGCGCCCTGGCAGGCTGCCACCGCTCGGATCGCAGAGCTCCATCCAAACATCCCCGAAGCCTGGGGCAGCCCCTGAGCCTTGTTCCTCCCCGCGAGCCCAAACGGCAAGAGGTGAGCGTCCGTCCCAGCAGTGCAGGGTGCTCCAGGCCCTGGCCTCTTTCATATGCATGCTAGGCTTGACTTGGGCTTGGTCACCGCTCCCCCGGGACAGCCCTTTTGTTGGGCACCTTGGTTCCCCGCCCCTCGGTCCACCGGTGTCCTACCCACCTCTGTTTGCGCTGCTCGAGCTTCTGGGACCAGTCACTGAACCCTTCATCCTCCTCCAGCTCTGAAGTCCCAGACGGCTTAAAGTCATAGCTGAAACACAGCAAGAAGGAAAATGAGGGTGAGAGAGAGATGCAAAACAACCCCAAACCTGGCCTGAAAGAGCCCCAGCCTGATACTGCCCTCTCCCTCCAGTTACTGCATCTTCTTTCCCCCGGCTGCTCCCAAATCCCACTTGAAGCCTTATCCTCCATTACAGGAAAGATGCCTTTGCCACGTGTTTAGGAACACCCTCGGACAAAACGGTTCTCCCGGGGCATCGCTGCAACGTGGAGAAGAAGGAGCAGCTCTGTGTCTCTAGCAGGAGCACCCTGCTGCCTGCCTGGTCTCTGGGGCTGCACGCAGGCGAGCAAAAGACAAGCAGCACATCAGAACCAAAATGCCCATTTTCTTTTTTTTTTTTTTTTTTTTTTTTTCTGCACCGGAGCCGGCCCTAGCTTGTTTGGACCAGAGAGGTTTCAAACTCCGGTGCTGCTTGTCCTAGGCTTGTACACAGCCCCATAGAAAAGAAATCAGCAGGAGCCAGCCTGAACAGCTCGCTGGATGAGGAAGGCGTGAAGACCCAAAGATTAGGACACTGGCTCACGTTTTGGGCTGGATCCTCTCGTTTCCCTACAGCTCTGAGCCAGTCACACGCACCCGCATGACCCCGGCTCCTCGCCTGCAAATGTCCACAGCTGCCAGCACCAGATGCGGCCTTGGCCGTGCACAGGGGCTGCTGGGTTTTCCCTATTTCTTTCCTTTTCTTCACAAGGAAACTCGCCTCCCAGCCAGGGGGGTCCCAGCCACATTGCAAGTGTCAGCCCGAGGAGGTGGCTTCACAGATGTTTTTGGGACACAGGGTGGTCACCTTGCCTGGGAATGGGAATTAGGATATGGGATTCATAGATCAGTTTAAAACTCAGAGGTTCAAAATATATAATAAACATGAGTGAGTCTTTTCTTTGCCTTTCTGGGCTCTTAGGAGGTGTCAGGAGACGCTCAGCCTCCTCTGTGACCCCGGTGGCTTGAAATACAGGGCATTTCTCCAAGATTTTGTAGTCTCGTATTGAACTGACTGCAGGAGCTGCAGACTTACCAAAAACACATGCCCTCACCAGGGAGGATAGTACAGGGGGGGGTACCCCAAAAACAGCTGCTTAGCCACAAGTTGGAGCACAGCTGAGCTCCTGCCACGGCTTCAGCATCCCCTCAGACTGTCGAGCAACGGTGCTGCGTAGGCCTAGGACGCTGCAGCCTGGTCTGGGTTATTTTACACTGTATGTGTAGCAGTAGCTCGTGGCTGCCCCAGGATAACACTCAGGAAATTTGATGCAGAACCAGGATGGGACCATGGATCTGCTGAGGCCCTGGTCAGGGCTTCAAGCGGGCTGCAGGGTTGATGATGCCCGAGGCAGAATCGCTCCGGTATTTGTGGCCCTGGCCACAAACGTGCGCTCAGGCTATCTGAAAAGCTCCCGGGGGCAAGGGAGACTGGCCAAATGCTGGTTGGAAACTGGTCGCTTCCATATGCCCCTTTGTGGCCCCAGGGGAAGCACGGAGCCAGCACAGCCCCATCAGCACTGCTTAAGCTGACATCCATCCCTCTGGCCCTCAAGGCCATGCGTATCTTTCCTGCAAACCCGCAGTTTTGCAGGTTATTTATCTTTTTTTTTTTTTTTTTTTAGTGGGGGGAAGGGAGTAGAGGAGCTTCGCTCTGTCCCTTTGGCACAAGGAAATGCCGAGGGTGGGTTTGTACAAACAGGAGTGACATGGATGGGATGAGTCCCAGTGTGGGAAGAGGGAAGGAGGAGGCAGTGTTTACACAAGGGAGAGCAAAGCTTTTCAGAAGATTAATGGCCAGGCCTGACCCTGGCTGCATGAGCAAGCCCAGGTGGCTTGTCAGCAGCTGCAGAAGCCAGGGGATGGCCAAGGGAAGAAGAAACACCCTTTGGGTCAAGCCTGGCCCAGCAAGCTTAAGCATCATGGAGCAGAGAGCAAACCCCTTCGCAGATGCTGAAGCACTCAATTAAATTTGGGCAATACCAACAGTCCTGTGGGGTCAGCAGCGTGTCCGTGCCCACGGGACGGGAGCCTGCACGCTGCTCTGTGCCCAAGGCTGCTCACAGCATCTCCCAGCAAAGCAGAGACTAGAGATCTTTGCTGCCATTTGAAAGACCTTTAAAAATTATTTTCCAGCCCCGGTGTGAAGGGGGGGGTTGGAAAAGCTAACAAATATTATTACTTTCCAGATCTTCTGTTTGCTTTTAGGGCGGACTGCAGCAGTTTCGTCTGCAGAATATCACTGGGTGTATTTCCACAAAAGATTTTGAAGCTTCTTTGCAACGCTTTTAGACCAAAAAAACTTTTAAAAAGACCTGAATAATTTTGAAAGTATCTGAGAAAAAAATGATTTTTAATGGAAAAAAAATAATTTTATAAATAGCTTTTGCTATTTTCCAGTAAAATGAAGCTGCTGCTTCTCTCTGACTGTAATCCCAAACCCTGCCACCACTTTTCCACTGTGTTTAATATATTTACAAATGAGTTGAACACATAAACAGTGGGAAGACTGGGGTCTTTGAGACAGTTTGGCAGCTCTGAGTGCAGACTGGGTTTTGTGCCAGCCTCAGTGCTACACAGCACCTGGACAGCCGAACTGTGGACACGGGGAGGCTGTGGTGGGATGCTGGGGATGTGACTGGTCAGCCTATCCCTTCTCCAGGGGTTTCCTCTCTGACAGCAGATAGCTCAGCATCTCCATAAATGCCTCCTGAGCTATTTCCACTTAGGGCCTGCCCGTTTAAAGCATCAAGTTAACTTTAACCCTTGGAGCTGTGAACTTGGTGAACTGCAGCAGCCCAGAAGCTGCTCCATGCTCCCCCCTGCCACGGCAGCAGAGGATATCGAGGAGCCCAGCCAGGAGAGGCGATCGTTTCCTCGGCCACCAGCCCCGTGATCTGCCCAGGGTTGCGCATCACATCCCCCCAGGCACATGTCTGTCTTCGCATGTGTGAGGAACTTCCATTAGTTTAGGCGTGGGATGATTCACAAGCTGAAATTTAACCAGGCACTGAAATCCCTGGTGTTAGGGACTCCCCGCCTGAGCTCAGCCTTACCCAAGCTGTCTTAGTTTAAACGCTCAGGGCAGTAAGATTAAAACACCCAGCCTCCAGACAAAACAAACAAACAAACAAAAAAAAAAAATCAAAGCAGGTATTCTGGCTTTTTCTGCCCAAACTAGAAACACACTACTTGTTAGTCTGGGCTAAATCCCCCCAACCCAAACCAATTAGGGAACATCCCCGTCTCCCCAAACCACCCCGAACAGCAGAGACACTCGCCCCGTGGATGCAGGAGGGTTTTGCTGCAAGGAGAGAGCGTGTTCCTGAAGGATTTATCTGTGGGTATTTCTTACTGGTTTTCCTGTGCTGGACCTGCGCTCTCCGAGCAGGAGACGGTGCCGTTCAAGCCCTCTTCTGCCTGGGACCTCAGCTGCTTCTCCCGCTCCCGCCGCCGCCGCTCTCTCGCCGCTTCTTCCTCGTCTTCCACGCTCCACTGCGCTGTCAGCCTGCCGAGCCAAAGGGAAAACTCATCCTTAACACCTTCCGCTGCCTGTGGAACCTGGCAATAATGCCCCCCCGGGGTGCCTGGGCTCCCCTGGCAAGCGGAGGGCTCCTGCAGCGCTCCCACCACGAGCAGCGGTCCTCAAAGCGGCATCCCTGCCTCCATCAGCACAGCTCCGCAGCGGGACCGACGGATGTGCAAGGGTAAGGGGGGGACACACGGGCTGGGAGAGGGGGGCAGGAGAACCCTTCCCAACCCCAAGGAAGATGCGGTGCGTATCCCCTTCCTCCCAGACCAGTCGCCTTCCCTCCCGCAGGCTGGAAAGCCCCCTGGGAAGCACGGTTCCCTGCAAAACCGCTTTGCATCCCAGGAGGGGTTTGTAAAGGAATTTTTGTAAGGGGGTTTGTGGGATTTCTTGCAGCGCTGCAAGAAATCCCACACCCCCATCTCAAGCTTTGGCCCGAGGAGGGTGAGATCTGCACCCTGGGGGTGAGTTTCCTTAAGCAGTTGAGCTGTTCCTGCCCAACCAGGAGCAGAGGACACAGAGGCAGAGGGCAGTGGCTGTGTCCCGCTCTGCCCTGCCCAGTTTCCTTCTTCTTCCCCTGCAGAGAAGAAAACCTGCCCTGGCTTCTCCCAGACATCTCAACCACTGGATAATAATGTTTCTGTCAACAGAAGAGCCTCTCGCATCCCTCCAGCAATAAGCTGGTCCCCACGCGGGATCGGCTCCAGGGCTGGTGGCACCAGCCGGGGTGCAGGCACAAAGGGACACGCCGCAACGGCATGGTCACCACTCAGGTGACAAAGCGGAGGGTGAAGGTTGTTCCCCCCGGTGTTTGCAAGGCTATTTATAGAAACACGCTTGTGCAAAGCACGCACACGGGAGTCGGGAAGGCGATCTGCCACCAGCAGCAGGACCCAGCCTGACCTGCGAATCCCGGGACTGCAGTCCCCAGAGGATGAACCTGCTCAGTCGGGGATAAGGTACGACATCAGTTCAGACTGGGCAAAGAGCTTGTGGAAAGGAAAAGGGAAACAAACAAACAAACAAACAAACAAACAAACAAAAAATGCCTTATTTGAGACTTGTTTCAGCCCAGTTTGAGTGAATGAGGGGCAGGTTTCAGCTGACCCCAGAAGTGCCACTCTGCCAGCCTGCCTGGCTTTGCCCACAGCCCGGACTACGAACCACATGAGAGGGTCTCACTGAGATCTTTTCATTTGAGGTTCAGGACAGATCCCCCCCTCTCCCAGCAAAGGAAAGGGAGAAAAAAAAACAAAACAAAACAAAACAAAACACATTGGGATTGAGACATTTTGTTCAAGAAAAATTTGGCTTTTCTAATTACACGCTGAACTTTGTCAACCATTCCAGGGGAGACCCACTCGGAGCCTATTTCACTCTGCAGCGTGGGCAGGACCGCCGAGCTTAGCCCCGGTAGCATCCCTTTGTGGAGGGGTCCCACTGTCACCCTGGCAAGAAGCTGGGGGTGACCCCACATCCCTGCCCTCCCAAACTCCCACCTCCCTGAGGTGGCAGAGCCGGGACGTGGACCTGGACGAAGACGGGTCGCTCATCTCTGCTGAGCCCACGGGGGAGCAGGGAACGGAGCAGACGTGGGGACTAGACCAAGAGACCGCTCTGCTGCCGTGGAATTACTTTACTGCCTTACTTTGGGTGGGGTTTTTTTGCAAGTAGCACACCCAGATGCCCTCTCCCCATCTCCCCATCCTCGTCCCTTGCCACCTTGCTCTCCACGGGGAACAAAGCAGATCCGGACCAGAGCCTGGGCTCCCCTCCTCCCTTCCCTGCTCGTCCCACACTCCTATTTATTGTTTTCCCCCATGTTCCCATAGAAACCCTTGTCTGTGGGCCTGGCAGGAAGCCACCGTGTTGTTGTGTGGGTTTTTTTTTTTTAATATATAAATGAAGTCATTCATTAAACTCTGCCATGATCTCCCTCCCTTGTGCTACAGCTCCAGATAGTCTCTGATTCGGAAAGGCTCTTAACCCCCTCTCGCCCACATCACCCCCAGTTACAAGAAGCAAGGTCCATATTTATACCAGAACAAATTAGATTTCAATTTCGTTCCTTTGCCCCCTCCTCCAGCTCCCTGGGAGGTTGCTGCAGAGAGAGCATTGCACCAAGCCCCCAGCTTGCCCGAGGTGCCCGGGAGGGGGGGGGTCCACTCCGAAACCCGTGAACTTTCCGCGGTGCGAGAGCAGCGTTGGTTGGCAGCCCTCTCCCTTTCCCAGTTGGATGTGAGTAACTCTCTCCCCATGACCTCACCGGCTCGCTATTCTGTCCCTGCATCCTCCAAACAGGCTGAGGACAGCCAGGGGCGACCGTTTCGGGGAGCAGGATTTTGCTGCAAAAGCAGGGAAATATCTTTCCCAGCTCCCTTTGCCGCAGAGCAAACCGGCCTCCGCGCTGGGACGCGGCTCAGACACACCGAGCATCGCGGCGGGGCTGCAATGCTGGGAGCTCCGCGCCCGCTCCTCCCAGCAACAAGGGCTGCGGATAAAGCCCCCACCAAGCCCCACTCACCCTGGGTTCAGAAATATCAGCACAGCCCAGCAAATAGCTAAAACCAGTTTATTAGCGGATTCAGAGGTCGCTCTCGCGCTCAAAAAGGCTGGCAGCGGAGCAAGGTTTAATAAGCAATGCTTTGGCGCTCAGTCGTCACACCAACAAGCAGAGGAAAAAGGACAATTCCTTTTTGACTGACCTAGCAGCACAAATATTTGTCTTCAGTGAAAAACAAACAAACAAAAAAAAAAAACCAAACTCAAACAAACGAGAAACTAAACCTTGCCAAAGTCCTTGCATTTGGGGCAGCTACAAGGGCTTGTTGGACCGCAGACGGAATGTGCCATTTCAATTTGGACAAGCCCAAGTGTGAGGAAAGGGTCAGCTGTTAAATTGCCTTTCAAAGCAAAAAAGTGGAAAGATTTAATTTCCAAACGGTTCTGTTTTCCAAGAAGGGGCTGTGGGCTCCTGCTTGCTCTAGTTGTTCGCAATTATATTCGGTATCTCAACGTGATCAGCCCACAGTGGTATTGCACAACATCTTTCCCATTTCTAGAAATAATTACCCGACGCTTCAGGAGCGGGCTGATAGCACATACCTCTGCCTTCACCTCCAGCCAGCACTTTCCCAGGTCGGTTCCAAGCTGGGGAATTTTTGGAAAGAAGCAGGTGGGACTGAGGAGACCTCCCCGCTTTGTTTCACCCAACCCAGGATAGGAGAAATGGAAAGCAAGAAGACTTGAAGCTTGAAGACTTGCAAGATGAGCTACAGCGTGCTACACTCCTGCATCCAGTCAGCTGCCTGGATAGCGGGATTTTCCTGAGAGGTGAAAGGAAATTCCCCCCGTCACGCAAACATTAGGGGGACTGGAGAGGGAGGGAAGGTAGAGAGGCTGTTTCGCTGCCCCACCAGCCAGGGCCTGTGGCAAGGCTTGCTCCGACAGGACCTCATCACCAGGCTGGGTTGTTTCTCTTACACGGTCCTTACATCTCTGCCAACAGCTTTTGGAGGTCTTAGTTTGGGGAAAAACACTCTTTGTGGAAGGGGCTTATCTCTTCCCGAGGAGGTCCTGTAGGTCTACGGACAGGCTGAAAGCACCTCGGTTCTGCTTTGGCCACGGAGTCACAGCTTGCCAAGCATCTGGGATGCTCAGACTTCTGCTCGAACTGGGGCCGGCTCTCCATTTCAGATCCAGCTCTTAACTTCACCTCCCTCCGGACCCCCAGCCAAGGGAGGGGTTTTATTTTAATTTGCCCTACAAAACACCTCCTCCTCCTCCAGAACAACGATACAGGCACCCGCACTCTGGCCACGCCATTCCACAGGGCCACGAACGCCCACTCCAGACAAGCCAGTGTTGCTGGAAAGGTCACGTTTCCTTTGGGCAATTCCTCACCAGCACTTGAGGAGATTATAATATTCAGGCGAGGGAAATTTCTGGCACCAGATGAGCTGTGTTTAAGGGAAATGCTGCAGACTCGAGGAGCCTTTTGCAGGGCCGACGGCTCAAAGGAAGCTTTGCTGGCCCAAACCCAACCTTCAGCACTAAAGCTAATTCCAGAAAGGAAAATGAAATGCCCCCTGGAGGCTTTGGGCTTTGCAGACCTGCACCAGAAAAACCCAGGAACCCTCTACCAGCACGTTGGACATTCCTGTCTCCTGAGCTCACCGGGGTATCAGGCCAGGACAGTGTTGACTTTGGTCGGTGCCTCTGTTGGGTGGGCTGCCTCTGCAGAGCCAGGGTTCATGAGGGAAGAGGTTTTGGGAACAGGGTTTAGGAGGAGCCATGTGCAACCCCTGGCCTGACGGCTGCTGTTTCCCAGAGGATATATTGCCCCATCACCTGCTAAAGCAACAGCGTCTACCACCGCTGAAAATATCACCTGCAAGAGATGTGGCTGCATGAGCGTGAGAAGAACTGGGAAGGGCAGCCCTGCAGCCCCCGGCAGCCATCCCATTGGCCCCTCTGTTGAGGTTCGGGGAAAGGGAGATGCCAAAAACCTGTGTAAGGGACCTTCCCCTTCCCACATAATCCACTGCAGCCTCCGTTGCCTCGTCGCGGTGCCAGATACAATATCAGTGCGGAGTACGGCCTCGGACTGTCAACAAGTTCCTCCTGCTGCCGACCAGAGCTGCCAGGCTTTATTTCAATATTGCATTTATCACCCACTTATAAAGGGCCCAGACATGATTGGCAGGGGTACAGAGATGTGCAGCTCACCCTGCCACGTGAAGGGGAAGAGGACACCTTCAAAAGGCTACAATGGAACATCTCCCTCACCCGCTTGACCTTCCGCCAACAAATTTATCACTTTTTAGTCTCTTATGAACGGCATATAATGGATCTCTGCGACTGAGTGAAGTATGCTGAAATACCCAGATAACGCCTCCGCTCACATCATTCGGGACAACCAGTGTCAGGCCACCCCAGAAGTCGTGGCTGAGGGCGTTTGCACGCAATGCACGGTCATG